CCCCACTGAAACTTAATTGATGAATATTGGTCATGGCGTCAGACTACATTCACCATTAAATACAAATTGATAATCGGACAGTAGTATTGCATAGCAGTTGGTTGTCGGGTGGGTGTAAAAAGATTTTACAAATGCACCTCATTTGACGCACAGATTTACACTTGAACCAAACCATTTTTCTGTTGTTTTTTTCCTTTTCGGTTATTTCTGTCCATGATCTGATAGAAAAAAAAACGAACTACAAATACTCCAAGATTTTTTTGACTTCATTAAAAAATAAAATCGTTTTTGTAGAATGGAAACTTTTTGAGGTCAAAACCCCCCACTCCCAAACTAAAGGAAATAAGTTTTTTATCCGACATCGATCTTTTGACGTCGACCCTAATGTACACTATATGTCATCAAAATTAATTTCGTAACAAAATGTGGAGATACTTATTTTGTAGACAACAAGTTTTTCCTATAGAGTCGAACAAGACATATTTTTTCCGCATCAAGTTCCTATAATTTCGTGATTTATCAGGAATAAATATTTTTTTCTATACTCAGTTGTACAAATTTGATCAGAATGTTTATTCTAGACTGTCATGCAACCACGAAAAAAAAAACTTACTTTTTAACAAAACTCGTATTCTGGTCACCGTTTTCATACTACATTCATATGATAGAAATACGGATATGTGAGTAACTTTTCACATATTTGCTTTCAAATTCAAATTTTAGGACTTATTTACCGGGCAGAGCGGCAAGTTATTGTAGTTGTAAAGAAGAAACCGGAAATCGAGACGACTAAAAATGTGATCAATAAATTAATTAATAATTAATAACTTTATTACACAACTTAACCATCTGTGGGTTTAGTAAGGTAAAAAAATGATTACAAAAGACAAATAAAATAAGACACACTAAAACACTAAAATTAAAATACACTGAAATTCAACATAGAAAGAAATACAAATTAGAAAATCTCTGAAAAATTGATTAAACAGCAGCAAGGTTCTCCCAGACCACAGTTACATATTTATCTTTTAGAAAATTGTATTTTTTAAATAATATGACAAAGCCATATTTTTTCCCATTATTTTCACAAAGCTTTCTATTCTGGACAAGTCATTATTTTTTATTTTAAAATACTTCAAGACATGTTTTCTCTCTACTTCATAGAAATTGCAATCTAAGATGAAATGCATTTCATCTTCAATTTGATCTGAATAGCATTTTTTGCAAGTTCTTTCATTTTCTGGGGTTTTTGGTTTA